AGGGCTCCGAGTATTTCTCTTGAGAGCTTTTAAACGGCGACCACTCGTAAATTTCATCGGCACATTGGCTCAAACTTAAAAGTTTAATTGAGATTTTGATAATTGGCTATTTCGGGTTATTTGATCAAATGTATTCATAAAATCCGTGTGGCCTCGCGAGTTAATAACTGTCGAGAGCAAAAAAAAAAATAAAAACCCTGATAAGAAATAAGAACGGAAGAGGTATCACACTTAAACCAAATCTACTGTTTTTGTTTGCACACTGCCAACAGAGCATAGGAGGCTTCCTATAATGTAGTTTGCATAACTCCATACGTGGGGGAAAAAAGGATAAAAGACAAACCGGCTAAAGTTGTTCCATTCCTCAGATCACGTATCTCAAAGGCACCTGATACGGCCTTGAAACAGACGCCTAGTCGAAAATTAGACAGATAAATTGTACTATAGAAGGGTGAAGGTTGTAGGAAGTTTCAACTTGGATAATAAGGACCGACGCTATTTGAGACACGTTCGGCATTTAGGTTCTAAAAAAATACGTTCTATATATCTAACCTCACCGACCTCAACATTGATATTCATGACCTAGGATACTAGATACCCTAGATTCTTCAATTTCTCACGCACATGAAAGAGTCTGCTGCTCCATAATTTCTTCCTCCCAATACGGTAAAGAAATCGAATCCATTGTTAAAAATATTAAAATACTCAATTACGTATTGTTGTATCTTTATGTTTTTGGTTTACATAGATCCTCCTGTGCCTATAACTATAAAAGAAGCTTAATCGAATAATAAAATGTACGCATAAAAAGGCAGCTATTTAAATGCCGCGCTGGTGTTTCAAGTGAAGAAATAGTCAAAGGTGTCGCTATTCTACAAACTTGGATACTGTATTGCCACTGTGGAAGAAAATGGCACCTTCAGTGGATCAGATTGGCAGAGAAATTCACAGGAGATGAAAATTAGTTCATTTACGTTTAATTGAACTATACAGTTAACATAAAACAACGGTCGCGTGAATACTTTTTGGGTCCTGCGAGTCCGCTTATCCTCGCTGTTTCCGTGGTCTACGATTCGCGTTTCGGCACCACCACCGCGGTGGATGCTTTGTGTCATTTTGCCAGAAACTCTAATCCTCTTTTCCTTTAACAAAAGCTTTTATTTTTAACACGGAAGAAACAGTCGAATATCGTCCTGTACTCTCGAAAGCGACGTACGATAGGTCAGTGGATCCTAACGACTCACGTACCATTGCGGCATTTTGAACTCTCGTACATAACTGAACGATCGCTTTTCGATCGATTTCAAATCAGTCAAAAAATCTATCAGACGGGATTATTGTTATATTTACAATTCCCTTCGTCTTCATGATGCGTCTGTTTTAAAAATTCCCTGACAGTCCCACGTAATGTGGTATTTATCAACAAAACCTTGTTGAATATGTAAACAAATGATGCAACCGTTGTATACAACTCGAAGGAGAGATAAACAAAAAGAAAAATCTTTTTCTTTATCTTTTAATGGCGATTGTATTAGCGCGTTTTATGACGAGCCAAAAAAGTTTTTACTTCTCTAACTCCGATTATGAATTCTGACTAAATGCAGTTCACAAGTGGTAAATTGAAAATTAACATGGTTCTGCGTGTTTGGGGTATCGAAGACGACAATCAAAAAATCCAGGTCGGCCAATTCTTGCTTTGTCTTCAACGATCGAGTCCTGATGTGGTACACAAGAGAGAATAGGCGGACCAGGATTTTTTGACTGTCAACTTCCATACCACAAAATCAAGCAGACCCATCTAATTTAAAAACCATTATAGTTCGTGGACCAATTGACCAAATAACTTCTTTCAATTAATTAATCTTTATGTAAGGTATTGGTTGAAATGAAAAAGCTAGTGTCATAAGCGGGATTCGAACCCGCACCTTCGGCTAAATACGCGGCTGGTACCACTTGAGATATCGTGATCTCGATCCACTCGGATACCAACTTCCCATATCAATCTACCTTTCTAATTTTCCCTCCTTTTTGCCATTTTTCGAATGTCGTGTATTCAAATTCGAATCCCGCTTGTGACACTAGCTTTTTTATTTCAACCAATACCTTACATAAAGATTAATTAATTTAAAAACATTGGCGCCTATTCTCACTAGTGTGCCACATCATTCGATCGTTAAAGACACGGCGAGAATGATATTGCGTTGTTTTAAGCCTTTAAATAAAAAAGAAATATATTTCTCCAACGTAAAGAAATATAATTATCACCATTGCGAAATAATTCCGTGATAAGCCTCGAAAATCCTGTAAACCGATAAAACGTATAATTTATCGAATCGGTTCTTACCGATTTGTCTCTAATGCACCAAAGACAATGGGCTAATTTTTCAGCTTTCCCTCCCAACGTCGGCCCATTCATCCGCGGGCTCGGCCGAGATCGGCGGATGAAGATAATCCGTCATTTACACGTTTTACAGGCGGGCTGTTGCGCAACGACATCTCAAGTATAAATAAAATCGAGATCTTTTTCGTTTTAATTTTTCCGTTGAAGCCGTTTTTGTGTTGTCGTCAATTGAGTAGATAATAGGGAGATTTTTGACCTGATTCTGTACTCGTTTCTGTTTTATCTGCGTAACCACCAACCACTATCACATGTTGGACAGTACTACGTCCTTTGTATGGAATCTTTCAAATGTTCTTTCCTTTGGGGATTCAATAACCCATCGTTCACCCGACTCTTTTAGGAGCAAATCCGGCCAGTGCTTCTCTTGGATCGTTAGGTGTACGTCCAGAAGTGAATCCTTTGGCTCCTGAGAAGTTCACCTTGACTGTATATCCTTCGGCTCCTTAAGAGGAAGACCTTCAGACGGTTCTGGGGGCTCTTTAGTCTCTGGCATATTCTTATGTTCTGTCATTTTTTGGTAAGAGTATGTTTCAGACGGGCCGCAGACTTTTATCTACCTGATGGTACTCCATTGGTAAAGTTAAAAAAAGTTGGAGAATTACGGCTATCTTAAGAGAAATTAACGCTTGGCTAAATTTATATATTTCAAGCGATGATTAAAAATAATAAATAAATAAAATAAAATAAAGCAGTGAGTCAAGGACATTATATTTAAACAAGCCATAAAATTTTTCATTCCTCAGTTTTTCATTAATAATTTCATGACTCGTTACAGTTAACTTTTAAGGATTTCATATGCAAATTTTTCTTTTTTAAGAAATTTCACCATGGTCATAAAAATTACTTTTTTGGAGTTGTACCAGCCCCCAATTGCACTCTGAGCGCCGATTCGGTCGATATTCTTTCCAAGGTCTTTATGTGCCATGCCTACTCGCTCCCTGTAAGCGGCCATGTTGTGGCACTCCTTGACCAAATATGACACACTGAACAATCTTTCTCTACAACCTGGACAACTTACAACGCGGGGTATTTTCCCAAATTGATAATCGAATTAAATTTTTAGTGTTTTTCTTTAAACTTAGACTATTACAAATATGGTAAAATATCAAATTCACTTCAGACAAATATTACCCTGGCATGATTTTCATTATTGGTGTTCTTTCCTTGGTATGTAAATTAAAAAAAAAAAAAAAATCTCCCCCAGAGTTCTATATTTTCTCGGGGAGGAGTTGAACCTTTCTATTCACTCTACTAAATTATTTCAATTAATTATTCTTTTCATCTAAGTTTTGGCTGAGATAGTGTCAAAAGTTAGTGTCACGAGGGGAATTCGAACCCACGACCTTTGGCTGAATACGCCGCTGCTCTAACCGCTTGAGCAATCATGACTTCCATCCATTCGGACACCAACTTCTCTCTCATCCTACAACCTTACGAATTTTCCCTCTTTTTGCCAATTTTCAAATGTCGTGTAATCAGGATTCGATTCTCAACGACTCTTGGAGAGGCCACGGGGAGCTGTTAGCGAAGTGATTACTTCTTTAATTATTATATTAATCCATACATGTTTATCGGTCATAATTGACCATATTAATTATTTTAATTAATTATTCTTTTTACCTGAGGTCTTGGCTGAAATTGGGTTCGAATCCCACTCGTGACACTAACTTTTTCATCTCAGCCTAGACCTTAGATAAAAAGAATAATTAATTGAAATAATTAATATAGGCTAAACATAAAACATGACCGCTAAACATGAAATGTATTAACATAATAAATTCCATTCATTCCAATAAAATAACATAAACACAACACTTGATACAAATATAGAAGTCTGGTCTCCAGGCATCGCACACTCACCCCAGTGTACGCGATATTCTCGATGCGAGGTTCAATAACCCCCATAATTCATTTTTCATAATTATTTACAGACACATAAACCAAGCTCAATATTTAATTAATCCTAGGCAATTAATAAGAATTGGCCCAGAATAATAGACATGGCTCACTTCGAACATTTTCCATCGTGAAAGTCTGTTCGAAGCGCTGTTTTCTTGAAAAATTCACGTTTGTGAATATGAATTAACTATCTAATATTACAGTTGGTCTCCGAGTCGGTGAATTCATCCTGAACCGTCATAGGGTCACTTATGGGGTCCGTCTTCTCTCGCTGGTTTGCTGAATTACTTAATTACAGTTTCTCACTGAAGATGGCGTAATGTCGAAACGCGTTTGAGTAATTCAATAAACCATCTACTGATGACGGACCCAATAAGTGTCATGTCTTGACCCTTTATGGTGATATTTTGTTTATTTGTGCCTTTTTCCCTTGGTTCCGTATAAAAGCTCATAAACTATTTGGACTAAGCGGGAAGAAGTGTATTTTTTCTAGAATTGTTTTTTCTACGAGTCAAAGTGATTCATTGGGAAACTATGAACTAAATTGACTGTGAAGTGACTGAAGTAGTTGTCATTTCATACTGATTAATATTGATAATTTAAATAACAAAATTCTCAAGTTAAAATGTCATTGGTGGCGAATTTGTTTGGGTTTAGTTAGAATAGATTAATATATAAATAAAATAAATTGTGGACTCACCCGCAGGTGCAGATTTCGCAGATGCACTGTTCGACGATCTTCTCCGGTGTTTTCTTCGGAGTCGTTTTCGGCTTGTCTTCTCTGGTGACTTTGGTGGTTTTGGAAGTGCGATCCTCGGAGGTGAAATGATCGAGAGAAGTGGAGGTTTCGTATGACTCTTTAACGTCCGTCGTGAAATGTCTTTCTGTGTGGGTCTCTCTTTCAAAGGGTTTTGGAGTCGGTGATTCGATTATTTCCATTGTCTTGGGTTCTCTGCGTTCAGGAGATTTGCTCGTACTACTTTTGTTTGTGGTAGTAACGTTTTTGACGATTTTTCCGTTGACGATTCGAACTTCTTGTTTTACACTTTCGACCGTTTCGGAACTCTTGACGTCGGGATATTTGGTCGTCCTGTATTCGGTGATCTCCGTTGTTCTTGGTGTTTTATCAGGAGATTTTGGCCTACTGCGGTACTCGGTTGTTTCTGTTTTAACTACTTTGCCTCCAACCAGTCTCACATGTTGGACAGAGGAACGATGAGTTGTCTCCTGGGTCCCGAATCTTTCAACTGTCGTTGTTTCCTGTGGTTCCTTAGGAGTTCCATCAGGCCAGTAGTCTTCCGGTTCATGAGGAATACGTCCTGTTGGTGTTTTCTTTGGCTCTTTCGGATATCGACCTACTGTAGATTCTTCTGGCTCCTTTGGAGTTCGAATAGTCGATGTCTCTTTTGGCTCCTTAGGAGGTCGACCATAAGTCTGTTCTTTGGGTTCTTTAGGTGTACGCCCTGTTGGTGTTCCCTTTGGCTCCTTGGGAGAACGTTCATCCGACGGTTCCTTGGGATCTTTAGATGTAAGCCCTGTTGGTGTTTCCTTTGGTTCCTTAGGAGATCGACCTGGTGTTTTATCGGTGGGCTCAGTAGTCCTTGATGTTGGAGATTTGGATCTACTTCGGTACACTGTTGTTTCGGATTTTACCACTTTCCCACCAATCAGTTTCACATGTTGAACAGTGGAACGCTCTAAATGAGTAGTATCCTGCGTCCCGAATCTCTCAACGGTTGTAGTTTCTTTTGGCTCTTTAGGATATCGATCTATTGTAAATTCTTCTGGCTTCTTAGGAGATCGACCATCAAACGGTTCTTTGGGCTCTTTAGGTGTACGTCCTGTTGGTGATTCCTTCGGCTCCTTGGGAGAACGTTCATCCGTCGGTTCCTTGGGCTCTTTAGATGTAAGTTCTGTTGGTGTTCCCTTTGGCTCTTTGGGAGAACGTTCATCCGACGGTTCCTTGGGCTCTTTAGTTGTAAGTCCTGTTGGTGTTTCCTTTGGTTCCTTAGGAGATCGACCTGGTGTTCTATCGGTGGGCTCAGTAGTCCTTGATGTTGGAGATTTGGATCTACTTCGGTACACTGTTGTTTCGGATTTTACCACTTTTCCACCAATCAGTTTCACATGTTGAACAGTAGAACGCTCTAAATGAGTAGTCTCCTGCGTCCCGAATCTCTCAACGGTTGTAGTTTCTTTTGGCTCTTTAGGATATCGATCTACTGTAAATTCTTCTGGCTTCTTAGGAGATCGACCATCAAACGGTTCTTTGGGCTCTTTAGGTGTACGTCCTGTTGGTGATTCCTTCGGCTCCTTGGGAGAACGTTCATCCGACGGTTCCTTTAGCTCTTTAGTTGTAAGTCCTGTTGGTGTTTCCTTTGGTTCCTTAGGAAATCGACCTGGTGTTCTATCGGTGGGCTCAGTAGTCTTTGATGTTGGAGATTTGGATCTACTTCGGTACACTGTTGTTTCGGATTTTACCACTTTCCCACCAATCAGTTTCACATGTTGAACAGTAGAACGCTCTAAATGAGTAGTCTCCTGCGTCCCGAATCTCTCAACGGTTGTAGTTTCTTTTGGCTCTTTAGGATATCGATCAACTGTAAATTCTTCTGGCTCCTTAGGTTCTTTTGGTTGTTTAGGTGTATGACCTCTGGGCGTTTCCTCTGGCTTCTTAAGTGAACGACGATCAAAAGGTTCTTTGGACTCTTTATGGTCTTTAGGCGTACGCCCTGTTGGTGTTTCCTTTGGCTCCTTAGGTGAACGACCATCAGAAGGTTCTTTGGGCTCTTTAGGATCTTTAGGTGTACGCCCTGTTGGTGTTGTAGTTACCTGAGTCGATTGATCGGGAGATTTCGACCTGCTTCGGTACACTGTAGTTTCAGTTTTTACCACTTTCCCACCGACCAGTTTCACTTGTTGCTCAGTAGTACGTTCCAAATGTGTCGTATCATGCGTCCCGAATCTCTCAACAGTTGTAGTTTCCCTTGTCTCTTTCGGATATCGCCCTACTGTTGAATCCTCTGGTTCCGTCGCAGTTCGACCAGTCGGACTATCTTTTGGCTCCTTAGGAGATCGACCATCAAACGGTTCTGTGTGCTTTTTAGGTGTATGACCTCTGGGTGTTTCCTCTGGCTCCTTAAGTGAACTACGATCAGAAGGTTCTTTGTGCTCTTTAGGGTCTTTAGGTGCACGCCCTGTTGGTGATTCCTTTGGTTCTCGCCTTGTTGGTGTTACACTGACCTGAGTTGGTTGATCAGGAGATTTCGACCTGCTTCGGTAAACGGTAGTTTCTGTTTTCACCATTTTACCACCGACCAATTTCACTTGATGGACAGTAGAACGATCCAAATGAGTAGTCTCCTTCGTCCCGAATCGCTCTACGGTTGTCATTTCTTTTGGCTCTTTAGGATATAGGCCTACTGTAGATTCTTCAGGCTCCTTTGGAGTTCGACCAGTTGAAGTCTCACTTGGCTCCTTAGGAGACCGACCATCAGACGGTTCTTTGGGCTCTTTAGGGTCTTTAGGCGTACGCCCTGTTGGCGTTTCCTTTGGCTCCTTAGGTGAACGACCATCAGAAGGTTCTTTGAGCTTTTTATGGTCTTTAGGTGTATGCCCTGTTGTAGTGACCTGAGTTAGTTGATCGGGAGATTTCGACCTGCTTCGGTACACTGTAGTTTCAGTTTTTACCACTTTGCCACCGACCAGTTTTACTTGTTGCACAGTAGTACGCTCCAAATGTGTCGTATCTTGCGTCCCGAATCTTTCAACAGTTGCAGTTTCTTCTAACTGGTTTGGAGATCGAACATTAGACGGTTCTTTGGGCTCTTTTGAATCTTTAGGTGTACGCCCTGTCGGTGTTTCTTTTAGCCCCTTCGGTGATCGACCATCAGAAAGTTCTTTGGGCTCTTTGAGATCTTTAGGTGTAATTCCTGACGGTGTTTCTTTTGGCTCTCTCCTTGATGGTGTTGTAGTGACCTGAGTTGGTTGATCGGGTGATTTCGATCTGCTTCGGTACACTGTAGTTTCAGTTTTTACCACTTTGCCACCGACTAATTTCACTTGTTGCACAGTAGAACGCACTAAATGATTCGTTTCCTCCTCCGTTCCCAATCTTTCAACAGTTGTGGTCTCTTTAGGAGATCGAGCAACCGTGAATTCTTCGGGTTCCTTAGGAGATCGACCAGTCGGTGATTCCTTCGTTGGTTTTTTAGGAGATCTGCTTGTTTCAGGCTTCTTAGGAGTATGTTTTGTCATATCTTCCTTTGATTCCTTGGTTGAACCATCAGGTTTCTTAGAACGTCCAATCGGTGTTTCTTTTGGTTCTTTAGATGTTCTATAGGAAATCGTATCCGTCGATTTCTTAGAGAATTTTTCAGTTGTTTCTGTAGAGGATTGGGATACGTTTTCCAAATGTGACCTTTTCTCTTGCTCTGTTGTTTGCTGGAAAGTGTATGTTTCGGACGGACCCATTTTTGTGACTGCAGTTATTTTTGTCGGATTCCTTTGGTCAGTAGGTCTCGTCATAAAGTGCGGTGTTCCAGTTTTGACAAGTTTACCTCCGATTATTTTTACCGTTTGTCCACCCTCTGTCGGTTCCTCAGGTTTGCGTGTAGTTTCTCTTGGTTCTTTATGAGATCGACCTACTGTTTCTTCTGGTTTCTTAGGAGTTTGGCCAGTCGACGATTTCGTCGGCTCCTTAGGAGATTGGCCTGGAAAGTTTTCTTCAGGCTCTTGGCCTTTTGGTGTTTCCTGGGTCTTTTTAGGAGATCGGCCCTCTGTCGGTTCTTTGGGTTCCTGAGAAGGTACTGGTTTTTGTGTTGTTGTGAATTGAGTAGGTTGATCGGGAGATTTTGACCTGCTTCGGTACTCGGTCGTTTCTGTTTTAACTACTTTACCACCAACCAATTTCACATGTTGAACGGTTGTACGATGCAAATGAGAGACATCCTCTGTACTGAATCCTTCTTTTGAATCTTTAGGGGTACGACCTTCAGACGGTTCTTGGAGCTCTTTACGATCTGTCATTTTCTTTTGTTCTGATGTTTTTTGGAAAGAATATGTTCCTGTCGGGCCAATTTTGGAGTCCGTTGTTACTTTTGTTGGTTTCTTTTGTTCAGTAGGTCTCGTCACATAGTCCGGGGTTCCAGTTTTGACTAGTTTACCACCGATTAGTTTTACCGTTTGACCACCTTCTGTGGTCTCCTCAGGTTTGCGTGCAGTTTCTCTTGGGCTGTCTGTTTGGCGCGGTGCTTCTCTGTCTTCTGGAGCGTAAACGAAACTTTTCTCGTTCATTATAAATTGGGAAGTCGCTTTTTTCGTATGATCCGATACGGCGCGTTCAGACGTGCGACTATCCCAAGTTGTATATTCAGTCGTGGGTTCGTGAGGTTTTGTCCCTGTTTGTTTTGTTGAAGGGTGCTCTGGAAATTCGGTTCCTTCTGGGAAGGACTTCGAGTCGGGGGCTTTGGTGCCCGATGTTTTAGGAGTCCAATCTTTCGTCGTCCTAGATGTTTGCTTTTCACCTGGAGATGTTGAGCCACTTGTATATTCGGTTGATTCAGTTTTAACTACTTTTCCACCACTGAGTTTGACCTCTTGCACCGAAGATGTGTGCGCAGTTTGCCTACTACTCGTCTGAGAAACGGTTTGACTTTTTTCAGTGTGAGTAGTAGAAGGAGATCTTTCAGTTAGGTATTTCACTGTTGTAGTTGTATGGTCTGAAAGCTGTTTAGGACTATCACCACTTTTGTCATCGGGATGTTTTCCTTCCGGAAAGGTTTTCGAGTCTGGTTTCGTTACATGTCTGACTGCAGGAATTGGAACTTCCATAGGATATCTGGAGTTATCGACTGTATCTTCTAGATAAGTACCTTCCGGTAAAGTCTTCGAACCATATTCTACGGTTCTGTACACAGTCCTAACAGACGGTTCTTTTCTGGACGTCGGCTTAGTTGATTTTTGTTCATCGGGTGATGTCGAATCAGTAGTAAATTCGGACGTTTCAGTGTTGACCACTTTTCCATCAACGAGCCTCACTTCACGAACAGATTGGTGTGATGTTTGCTTACTGCTTGACTGCGACACAGTTTGATGTTTTTCTGTCTGGGTGGTTGAAGGGTGTTTAGGGCTACCTACCCTTTTGTCCTCAGGATGTTTGTATTCTTTTACATTCGTTACCAGTTTTGGTTCGTCGGTAGATTTTCCAGTCGTAGTGTACTGTGTTTCAGATTTGACTAACTTCCCTCCGACGAGTTTTACATCGGAAACTGTTTTGGCTGCGTCTGAAGAACCACCAGTGACATACCTTATTGTGGTCGTTTTCACTTCTGGGTACTTGGAATAATCCGTCTCGTCTTCAGGATGTTTCAATCCTTCGGGAGAGGTTTTTGAGTCATGTCTTCCATCAACTGGAGACTTAATAACCTTAGTTTCCTTATATATTCTGGTTGTAGTTTCGTCCGGGTGTTTTGGGCTGGTGGTATATTCCGTCGTTTCGGATTTTACCAATTTCCCTCCAACAAGCTTTACTTCTCCGACTAAAGTCTCGTGAGATGATTGTGTGCCACTAGTTCTTGAGACGATCTCACGCTCTTGTACTGTGGTCTCTGGGGTACGTTTATCACCGGTTACATATCTGACAGTAGTCGTTTTCACTTCTGATGCATCTTTATGATAACCAACTTTATCGTCATCGGGATGTGTGTATCCTTCTGAAAGGGTCTTTGAGTCAGGGCTTCCATCGGTGTACGAAGGCACTGGAGTCTTCGTCACCTTCGTTACAGTCACCACTGTTGTTTTACCTTTCTCTGGTCTAGCAGTTTCGGATTTTACTAATTTTCCACCGACAAGTTTCACTTCTGAAACTGTTTTGGTTGTATCCGGAGAACCACCAGTGACATATCTTATTGTGGTCGTTTTCACTTCCGCCGGGTGTTTGGAATAATCTGTCTCATTTTCGGGATGCTGGTAACTTCCAGGATATGATTTGGTCACTGTTCTTTTACTAGTGTCCGATGATACTGTGTATGGTGATTTTGGACGGTTTGGGTCATCCTCTGTTGAGCTAGTGGTGTAATCAGTTGTTTCAGATTTAACTAATTTCCCTCCGACGAGTTTCACCACTTCTCGAACTGTAGTTTGTTGAGAAGATTGCGTCCCGCTTGTCTCGGAGATAGTTTCACGTTTCTCCGAGTGTGTTGCTTCTGGTAAACCTTCGGTTACGTATCTTATTGTCGTTGTTTGTACATCTGTAGGATATTTGGCATTATCGAACCTACCTTCAGGATATTTAATTTGTCCAGGGGTTTGCTTTGCAGTTCCCGGTTTATGCTGAAACTCAGGAACATCGTCGTATTCCGTTGTTTTTGTTTTAACCAATTTCCCTCCGACCAGTCTGACTTGTGGAGGCATGACAGATTGTTTTTCCATATTAATGAAATCCGTAACTACACGCTTATGTACGTTGGTATCATCAGAAGTTTCGACAATATTCGTTTTAGATGTAACTGACTTGGAGGTGGCGCTTTTTGTGTGTTGTGAACTAGTGTGGTGCGAAGAACTCTTTTGTTCTATTGTTGATGGATAACTCAATTCATTGTCCGTCGTGGTATGCGTGACCTGTTGCTGCATCGTCTGAAAGGGGCTAGAAAAACCGTCCCCATCGTCGGTTTCCGTTTGGTCCGCTTTCTTGGATGTTACTCTAGTCACACTCGTGTAGAATTGAGTACCATCGTCTGGATCTCTTGTTGGAGATGGTTCGTTATCTCGATGGGACGGACGGCTGGAGTAAAATCTTTCTTCTCCTTGACGAACAACATTTCCAGTTTTCGTGCTAGATGAAACAAATGTCTCAACACCGTCGTCCGCAGTCTGCTGTAAGATTTCTGCAGACGAGAGGACGTTTTTCTTACCGGTCTGCTGGACGTGTTGCGATGCGGTTTCTGGAATATCGATAACTTCTGTGATAGTATCGATAACAGAACCGTCGGGACCGTATATGGTCCTTATAACAGTTTTCTTCCCCTTCTGAGAGCTGAATGTGCTCTTCTGTGCCATTTCTTCCCTTTGTTGGAAAGACGTTTTCGCCGATACGGCCGAACTGTAAGTTTTCGACGATGATTGCTGAACGACTTGAGTATCGTGTTCGCCTTGGCCGAGAGAACTCGGGTCTTGGGTTGGTTTGCCGCTGTCCGAAAAGATTTTTACTATTTTCGATCCGACCATTTTGACTTGATCTCCGAGCGAAGGGGACGAAACTCGTTTTTCGTGGTCAGGCTTAGAATCTTGCTTATCATCACCCCTTAAAGTCACAGAGTATACGGTCTTTCCATGTTTACCTTGCCTGTCCGTTGTTTCTTGAATTTTCTCGACGGTAGATTTAATCGTCTTCGTACTCTCTTCCGTTTGAGAAGAAAATTTATCCGATTGTGAAGATGTGACGGTGGAATGTTTTACACCACCGTTTGAAAAAGTTTTCTCAGTTATGTCCGAGGGATCCGATACCTTGATTATTTTACCTCCGACCAATTTGACTTCACTGCGAACGGCGCTGGGATCCGAAGAAAGCATCGGACCCGTTTCAAGGGTTGTCGTCGACGTCTCATCTGTCGAAAATACCTGTTCGCCGGTTTTGATCGGAGTACCATCTCTTATAACATATGTTATCTTCGTTACAATTTTCTGTGAAGGGCTACCGTCTGAATCTGCGACCGGTCTTCCATCTTCCGAATAAGTTTTAACAATTTTTGATTCTCCCCCGGTAACCGTTTCAGTCCCACTTTCGATCGTGGAAGATTTCACAGTGACACTTTTAACGGAGCTCGTCGATTTTTGATAATTACTGTCCACTTGCTGACTGCTAGCACCGGTCTCTAATTTACTGTCGACTAGAATTTGAGTTGAAGGGGAGTACTCACCCGTCGGGGTCGCAGTTTGGGGTTGTTCCACGGTGTAAGCCGAAGAAACGTCCAACGTCGATCCACTATCCTCCACTTCCTCGATCTCGACGCCGGCCGAATCGTCTTCCGTACGAATGATCTTGGAACCGACCAATTTCACCGTCGACTTCTTCTTCTTCTCTTTATTACGCCAGCCCGATTTGAACATCTTGCCACTTCGGTTCTTTCTCGTTGACTGTTCGTTTCTGCCGCTCGCCGACGTGAACCCCACTACTCGACTCACGCCTTCTCGCCTACTATTCCACTCCCACATCTACCTACCTATCTAGTTTTTTTTTATTCCACGATTTCCTTATCCAGCAATTACTAATATGAACAATTTAAATTTTATTGCCAACTGGGTGGCATGGATTTTATAAGGACAAAAGAAAAATGGCAAACCTTCATTGTTTTAACTATATTTTTTTATGGATGTTAAGGTTTTGAAATTATTCTAAGACTATTTTATTCCTTTTCCTTCCTATTAATAGAACGATAATTTCTAATAATTATCATTAATAATCATATAAAAACACATCGCTGTTATATACGCAACGAAAAATTGTGACGTTTTAAAAATTGTGGATGTGGAATTTTTTTTAATCCTCTTGTAAAAACATAATTGATGCTTATGTTCGCAAAATTCATCACGATCGTTGTAAGCTGTGTGATTTTTCCTCTTTAGCTCATTTCGGCCTTGACTCGGCTCCCACAGTTTCATCTGGCTCTGCCCACCGGCTTTTGTGCTTTCACTTTCGAAAAACGTTCACCCAGCTTTAAAAGCCGATCGGCTGTGTCATAAAGAATCGTGACTTTTTAAATGCCCCGTTTAAAGGGCCGGCTTTTAAAGTCCCCACTGGAATATTCGCCGGAAAAGCTTCAGATTTCCGACAGATGGTCTGGCCAAATAGGCCACCGATTCAAACAGGTGTGCGCGAATCGGGTCTCGCCTCAACGCTAACGGGTTTAGATTCACTCAAATCCAGATCCACAGGATCATCCACGGGAATTTTCTTTCTTAAATAATTTTGAATACCACTGATTTGTTGACATTGGCATACATTTTCAGTCGTCCTCCAGAGTGTAACTTGTGACGACATCCGGATGTAGATTTCACCCTGCTCAACCGATTATCCTTCAAAGACAAAAATAAATTTATTTCTTGTTCATTGAATACATTATTCTGCGAAAAAAAGAAAAATTAAATGATAATCCATTAGATTTCGTGGTCCGATTGACCATAAACTTCTTTCAATTAATTAATCTTTATGTAAGGTATTGGTTGAGATAAAAAAGGGCATAAAATTGAAAAATGGCAAAAAGGAGGGAAAATTCGGAAGGCGGGTTGAGGTGGGAAGTTGGTGTCCGAGTGGATCGAAGTCGCGAAAGCTCAAGTGTTAGAGCAGCGGCGTATTTAGCCGAAGGTCGTGGGTTCGAATCCCGCTCGTGGCACTGACTTTTTTATCTCAACCAAAACCTTAATTAAAGGTTAATTAATTAAATGATAATGTAGAACAAAATATCGTAAAATGAACAGCCTGCTCTCAGTAAGTTTAATTTGTGCTTGAAAAGAGGAGTTGTGAGCTCATAAATAATTTTATACATAACAAAAATAAACTAAAAAATATTTATTCAAATTTCAATTATTTATTCTTTCTATGTAAGGTGTTGCTTGAGATAAAAAAGTCAGGGTCACGAGCGGGATTCGAACCCACGACCTTCGGCTAAATACGCGGCTACTCTACCACTTCGATCCTCTCCGACGCCAATAGGTTCGAATCCCGCTCGTGACACTGACTTTTTTATCTCAACCAAGACCTTACATAGAAAGAATAATTAATTGAAAAAAGTAGTAACTTGGTCAATTGACCACTAAAACGTAAATGGTTTATTCAAATTAGTGATAGCAGTATACATTCATTTTATTTGACTATTGGTATTTTATATAAGTGTTTAAATAATTATTTTGTTACTATATTACTTTTAAAAATGTCTCTTCGTTAATTTTATATGTTTAAAAAAAATTAATCATAAGAGGGAAAGGAATTTATATAAATTTTGTCTTGATGTAGAAATGTGTGGTGATTAGTGACCGTTAATCGATAATTATTCACAAATCGTGAGATGCGGTCTGGTGCGATATAAGTTTCAGAAAAACATTTTCTTTATCGTGCCAACGTTTCGATCTTCATTGAAATCATCTTCAGGGCCTGGAATTTACAAACATTGTTTACATTTAACAAATACATTTAGGATGTGGAAAAGTGAATTTATACAATGCAAAATATATTTTATATATTCAATCAAAAATATATTCTGAAACCTACATCACACCAGACCGCATCTCACGATTTCTGAATGATTTGTCTTGATATGTGAATCTTAATCCTACATTATATGCATTGTGATTAGTGACCGTTAATCGATATTTATTTAGAAATCGAAAGAAGCGGTCTGGTGTGATGTAGGTTTCCGAAAAACATTTTCTCTATCGTGCCAACGTTTCGATCTTTATTGAGATCATCTTCAGGGCCTGGGATTTACAAACATTGTTTAAATGTAACAAATACATGTAGGATGTGGAAAAAAGTGAATTTATACAATGCAAAATATATTTTTTATATTCAATCGAAGTATTTCTACTCACTCAAAGTGTTTGTCTTCTGTGTAATTGTGCCATTCTTCTCACTGGCACTCTCGACACGACACGCAAGAATGGCACAATTAAACAGAAGACAAACACTTTGAGTGAGTTGAAATACTTTGATTTAATATTAAAAAAATTTTTTTGCATTGTATACATTCACTTTTTAACACATCCTACATGTATTTGTTAAATGTAAACAATGTTTGTAAATTCCAGGCCCTGAAGATGATTTCAATAAAGATCGAAACGTTGGCACGATAAAGAAAATGTTTTTCTGAAACCTACATCACACCAGACCGCATCTCACGATTTCTAAATAAATTATATGCATTGTTATTATGCATGGAAATGTTTGCTTTCGGAACAATAAATTTTATTAAAACATTTGTTCTTGTAGTGTAATTGAAAACCATAATAGGTAAAAATTTACGCCTATAAATACGAAGGCATGAATACACCGAAAATAATTGTCTTTTAACACTTTAAAATCATTGTAGAGTTGTTTTATGTTTTACCTTCTATGTTTATTTAACAATATTTTTATTATAGGATTTAGAGCAATAATTATTGGAAAAAATGTAGGTTTTGTGGTACCACCCCAAACTAAGTTCCTATATGTTATCAAGGATTGTGCTAATGCCAAATATCGCATTAAATCTGGCTGAAGAATACTTCTTAAAATTTTAAATTGATAAAATAATTTTTTCAGCTTTTTTACCAAAGCATCAATATGGAACTTAAAGTTTAATTTGTTATGAAAAAATATTACCTAATATTTAACGTTGTTGATAAAAGAGTATAATCGGGCAATTACAGTTGAACGAATTTACACAAGAATGTAAATAATATCTTTCAGTTAAGTTTTTTTGATTTGAGAGACTAAATTTAATGATTATAGTTTTAAATTTAAATTTAAAGAAATTACTATCTAAGCATTTTTTAATTGTGATTATTTCATCATTAATAATTGTCATTATATCATCATAATTCTTGGCAGAAAAAAGTATAGCTGTATCATCAATCAGCGAATCCTAACATTTTACCAAGTCGTTAACGTAAATTAAAAATAGTACAGGCCTTAAATTTTTCTTTAATTTAAAATAAGCCTGACAAAGATGTTGAAGAATGCCTTGCGAATGCAAAGATGGCCGGTGAATTTGCCCGTCCCAGGTCGAGTGCAGCAATTTTTGTCGCGTCACCAACGAAACACGAGGCCTTGCGCAGTCACAGAGGAAAACAACTACGCTTTTATTCACCGGTGAAAACCGATTTTCCTTGATGTCTAGTATTTACTAGGTCAAGTCGGAAGGGTATTAGTTAGAACTTGAAATGACTCCTTACTACTAATGCAACTCTTTTCGTACTAGTTCTTCATTAATGTATGAGTTTCTACGTACAATCAAATTTTCTTTGCAATTTTAAGAATCGTTTGAAAGTAAAACCCCAAGATTTGAATGATTTATTCGCCATTAGTAGTTAGTGTCTAGACAGTAGACATTAACAACATATTGACTGTTGAAGATGTAATCGTCAAATATTTTGACAGATGAATAAAACACGGACACACTGGTTTAAATTTCACGACAACGTAGAAAAACGCTTCCGCTCCTTTTATATTTAATTTAAATATAATGGCAAAAGTTAAAAACTACCAATCGAGCATGAATGTTTATGTAAAATGGTTCTCATGAAAGAGCGTATTTTTTTGTTGTTAAGAATATTTTTCTCGAAGGAAAAACACATCCAAGAAGGAAGGCGCTTAACGCTTTAATCGAAAATAATCCACGATCTACCCACTTAAGAATTAGCGAAGCCATATACAGTTTCTTCAGATACGAGCCGTCTCGTGGCTTTGGGCGTCACACCTTGGTCGAAACTGGGCAAAAATTGTAGACTAAGAAAAACGTTTATACGTTGTACCATACATTTTTTTTTACAATGGGACAAAATCCATGGCATATAAAAGTGAAAATAATTGAGAAGATTTCAGTTTAAATTCCAGCTTAGAAAAATGTTATGTTATCAGATTTACAAGCAGACGTTCCACAAGGGAGCCTTCCTTGTCCCATTTTCTCTACCGTTTACACTCCGGGCCTATGAAGATGACGCCGCAATTCCGTCTTCTAATTTGAATCCTATCCAAGTATAAATTGCGCTGGTGTTCTATACCGGGTGATTATACAGGGTGTTCGGCTACTCGTGTTACAAACTTTGCCCGTAGATTTTACATTCAAAAAGGAACCAAAAATTCCTAATTAACTATGGCCCGAATCTCAGCAGTTTCGGAATTACTTCACTTTTTCTGATTTTTTAAGATTTCACGACCTTGCTTCAAATAAACAATGATAACTCCAAAACTAAAAGATTTTGTACAAATCTAGCGATAAGATTGAAAACTTCATTAAATTTCCAATAAGATATGATCAGTACTAAACTTGTAAACCTTCGTGAAATAAGTGTTTTATTAGCGAGAACTTTGAAAGTTGAAAAACTTACTATGGTGATTCTAAACTACTATTTCCAAACCTAGAGACCAGCAAATTTCAGAAAACGTACCCCATTTAATATCCTTTTTAGTGGTGTA